ACTGAAGTATTAAGTAGAAGACCATTCAGTGCCTTGCAAACAACTTAAGAACCTTAGGACTCTAAAGAGAGAAATGGATTGTTAATGCAATAGATGTTCTTCATTTCTATCCATGAAGTTTCTAGGCTACTGATTCCATGAGTCATACCAAAACTGCCCCCAACAAGGAAAATAAATCAGCATAGCTTGAAACTGCAAATTCTCACACATATTCTTGTGTGTGAGAATAAATAAATATTTAATAAAACTTGAAGGTAACATCACAGAAAGCTGGCAGAGGTCCCATGACTGAACAGAAGACCTAATCTTTTTGACTAGTTTAAAACCATACTACAAATATAAACAAACTACACACATAAATGCTCTGCTCTGCTTCCAGTCCAAACAAACTAAAAAGGGATGAAACTCAAAATAATTTCTAGCCTCTATTCCGACACACCACTCAATAATCATTTGAAGTTAAGCCAGGAGAAAGGATTCTTTCTCCCAGGTTTCTCATGGTCAGCAAGCTTCTAGATACTGAACTTGGAATATAAAATGAGTTGAAGTTAACATAATTTTATCCTCTTCTGTAACTCCAGGAACAGGAGGTTCTCATTTTACATTAATTCTGTTTCTTTATGTATTGAGTCTGCTTGGAATTGAATTCATTTTCTTCATAGCAGCTCATATGGTGCTCTAAATTTGCACCTAGAACACTGATTAATGCACCAGTTTTTTAGCTACAGGTGAACAATGTTTGCATGTTCTCAACCTCCTGCTTCTTACTCTGTTCCCCTCAGTGAACAGACAGGGGAGTGTGTCAAAGACGGAGAGGGGACACAAGACAGATGACTCAAACTAATCAAGGAGATATTCCATACCACGTAGCATCATGCTCAGCAATAAAACATTAAAAAGAACAGGCAGTTTAGCATCAGTAATCTTTTGCTTGGGAACTGGCCTGGCAGGTGATTGTCTTTGAATAATTTCTCATTTCTTTCATTTACCAAACTGTTTTTTCTTAAACCATAAGGTTGTTTTGCTGTTGGTTTTTTTTGTTTGGTTTTTTTTTTTTTTTTGCTTTTACTCTTCCTTTCCTCTTCCTCACACCACTGAGTGAATGTGAAAGTGTATGGTGCTTAGCCATCTACCAAGGTTAACCCACAACACCTTCTAATATGAGGTGTTCAGTGATCCACTTTATCGTTCCATGAAAATTAATCCAGAAGAACCAGACAGATCAGACAAGTCAGAACCAAGACATAAAGTGATTTTTAACAGCTTTACCTTAAATGCAAATTAAACAATTGGAAGACCTGAGAGACCTGGGTTTTAATAGAATTGACAGACGTTCAAAGATAAGACCTAACCTAACCATAAACTTCATTTCAATGCTATGTATTAATTAGATCTAACAGAATCACACTTGAGAGCCCCATGCTTTGAAATGGGACCTCCTTTATCTACCATTATTCTCAGTGTTTCACAGACTATGAAATAGAAGCAGAGAGACCTGGGTTCTTATGTTTCTTGGATCACAAGTGAAATGAGACAGTCCTGCCTTAAGTCCCCTAGTGAAATAATGTAATGTCACCTGCAAATTATCTGATTACTCAAAAACATCTTATTTCAAAATAAAGATGAGTTTGCAGAACTGATTTTAAGGTAAGTAACCAACAGTCTATCTTGCTCTGTACCTTAATGTCAGAACAGCTGTTTTTCTACAAAAACATCTCTTTAAAATGTAGGCTGAAGGGGGAAAAAGAATAAAGAACTGTCTACAACAGCTGAAAAATCAACAAAATACAGTGCAATAGAATCATCAAGTGAACAAGGATGCCAATTTTTATTACATATGTAAATCTAGTCCACCCTTAACACTGGCAGAACAGACAATCATTTTCATACAGTATCTCCAATTACTTCAAACACACTAAGAATATGTTTAACTATGGAATATAAAACTCAAGTATGTTGAGCTAATTCAGTATGATATTTTCAGACTTCTGAAAATATTATCTAATAGACATCACATGGAAAGCAGCCAAAATGAAATATTAACAAGGTATTACAACTTTACTTTTGAAGGGCAGTACTGAACACTTCAATGGAGGAGTAGTTTCCACACCTTCTAGTAGTTCTTGATTGTGCACATAAGAAAAAGGCTAGAAAAGAAACTTCTATTTCACCTTGCAATAAAATCAGATCAACAAAACTTTGCAAAGGAAAAAAAAAAATGAAAACAAGAAACTGCTGAAAAATCACTAACAGCATGTTTGAACACCTGGGCTAAAGCCTTAGAAGTGCTTGCATACACAAATGAGCAAACTAATAATATTTATTTTTTATTCTAAATTGACAAGCATATACTTGCAAATAATACCAAAAACAGCCACATCAAACCTGTGCATAAAACCAATTTAATTTCTAAATATCACTGAAGATACATTTTGTTTCTTTATTCAACCAATTATTACGGAACACCTGGTCATCCAGGGATGCTTATAACCATTAAAAAGGGATATACTGAATGATCAATTTCAAAATACCGAGACTGAAATGAATAAACCAACAAACCACACCTCAATCTGAAATTACAATTTATAAAATGTTTCATTTTTGATACTCATAAGTACGTCATATTAATTACTATTACTTTGATACATTTGAGATACAGTAGCTTCAGCTACATTTGCTGAAACATTAAAGAAAAAAGGAAAGGTTGAGAGAATTAGTTTTTTCAACAAGTCATCTGATCCATCAGAAACAATTCAAATAATACATTATCTGCCTCCTTCCTTTGAGCTGCTCGTATCTCTGGGTGTGCTGGCAGTTCCTGTCAATAGGACATCAGCTTCATATTACCACTTTTCACATTAATACTCTTCCCTTCCTCCAAACTAAGCATTTCCTGTACCACGCTGAAAAACAGATCTGCCACAAATAAGGCCACAGATTCCACAATGCTGACACCAGCATGAAGATTTGAATCTACAACCAAGTTTCCAGAATTGGAAAACAGAAATGCACTGTCTTACATTCCACGACTTTGGATTATGGTCAAAGCATGACAGAAGACATTTATACCTGGTTGTGCTTCACTAAATGGAGCCCAAAAAGGCCCAGGTCCAGCAAGAGGTCGTTCATTATTCCCTCCGCTGGGATGGCGGTTGTGCTTCCTCCATGTGTGTGGAGAGGTTGGTGGGGATTGCTGTGGTGAAACAACTGGAGATGTGGACTCCTAATAAAACAAAGGAACTTTTTCAGTTTTGTACTGTATAGCTAAATATACAAAAGCCTATCCATAACCATAATTTTTAGAAACAATCATCAAAATAGTTAAAATATACTTGGAAAAGGAAAAATCTTAGCACTTATTAAAAGGAAACAAATGTCAGGTACAGCATAAGTAGCACCAGACACATTCATAAAAAAAAAGACAAAAAAAACAAAAAAACCCAACACAACTAAGCAGGCATTCTCAGGACATCAGCAATGCCAAGTTAAATGACTTCGTTTCAAAGGAAACTTAAAAAAAAAAATAACTCATTTTCACTTGTGACAGAAGTTACATTTGAACCCAGATCTCAAAAGAAAGTTATTTATTGTACAAGCAATGATCATACCTAACTGTCATCAAGTGACTCATAATCCAAATTATCTTCTTTCAAAAAAAGAAATCAGAATTAAACACTGAAAAACATAGCAGACATCATTTTTAAATGTGCGGAAAATGTAGCTGTATTTTTTTCCAAATAATTATGTCCTTTATAATATATTTCTTTGTTGCACAGGTTAGAAGGTAGTTCTGTCCTAATTTTAAGGCTTAAGATTTTCTTTAACACTGTGTTGTTCTATCTCATCCCTGAACAGACAGGAAAACAGAATCACATGTGTATCGGTTCTCATGAGACATTCAGATTACCAGATAATTCCACTTGGAAGGAAATAATGAAAGAAATACACGGAATGAAGTATTTATATCATAGAAAGTAATTTTGCAATTAGATTGCTATGCCTCTCAACTTAAGCTAAACTAGCAGGTGAAAACAAGTACAACAAGAAGGCAAGATTCAGCTCTGAATTTCCTGGGAAGTAAACGTGCTACAAATCTCAATATCTATTTCAGCAGTAGACAAAAATATATGTCTGGAACTCTTTTGCCTGATTATATTAAGTGATATAACCTTTATTTACCTTTCCAATTCACCACAAGGTACACAATCTAAATAATTTCAAGGATTTACTAACACACATGAATGTATACAATAACATAACTCCTACTAGTTTCACAGACAGCTATCCAAATAAACTGAAAGCCACATGAATATAACCAGGAAATAGCTTCCTAACAACTGCTAACGTGCTATCAAATACTACAGACAGATTGACTATAGGTTTCCACGATTCACAAAACCTGATTTACTTTGCCAAATATTCAAAGGCCACTTTGTCTTATAACAACAACATTACGTCTATAAGAATCAAAGTGCCATAAAACTAGCTTTTTTCCAAGCAAGGTACATACTAAAACTACACACATCTAACAAAGTTTAAAGATCATGATGACAGATTAGTTTCTAATGTGTTGATGTAACCTCTCCCTCTCCCCCTTCTTTTCCTTTGATTTCTGTCTTACTGGGAAATGGGGCCAGCATGGTCAATTCTGCAATTGAGGTACTTGCTAAAAATCAGGACCGCTGAGTCAGATTTCTTTTATTAAAGCTCCTAGACCACATCATTTCATGGAACAGCTTGTGCTGGATGCCATCTACAGAGAACTGGGAGAAAAGGTTATCAGGAGTAGTCAGCATGGGTTCACCAAGGGGAGGTCGTGCTCGACCAACCTGGTGGCCTTCCATGATGTTGTTGCATGTTGGGTGGATGGGGAAAGAGTGGTAGATGTAGTCTACCTTGATTTTAGAAAGGCATTTGATACTGTTTCCCAAAACATCCTTATAACAAAGCTGAGGAAGTGTGGGATAGATGAGTGGACAGTGAGGTGGGTTGAGAACTGGCGGACTGGCGGAGAGCAGAGGGTCGTCGTTGGTGATGCAGAGTCTGGCTGGAGACCTGTAACCAGTGGTGTTCCTCAGGGGTCGGTGCTGGGTCTGGTCTTGTTCAACATCTTCATCGATGACCTTGATGAGGGGATAGTGGCCACCCTCAACAAGTTTGCTGATGATACGAAGTTGGGAGGATTGGCTGACACGCCTGAAGGCTGTGCTGCCATTCAGCAAGACCTGGACAGGCTGGAGAGCTGGGCAGTAAGAAACCAGATGAGGTACAACAAAAGCAAGTGTAAAGTCTTACACCTAGGGAGGAATAATTGCATGCACCAATACAGGCTGGGGGATGAGCTGCTGGAGAGGAGCTCTGCAGAGAGGGACCTGAGTGTCCTGGTGGATGACAGGTTGGCCATGAGCCAGCAGTGTGCCCTTGTGGCCAAAAAGGCCAATGGCTTACTGGGGTGCATTAAAAAGAGCGTGGCCAGCAGGTCAAAGGAGGTGATCCTCCCCCTCTACTCTGCCCTGGTAAGGCCGCATCTGGAGTACTGCATCCAGTTCTGGGCTCCCCAGTACAAAAAAGACAGGGATCTCTTGGAAAGAGTCCAGCGGAGGGCCACAAAGATGGTGAAGGGCCTGGAGCATCTCTGCTATGAGGAAAGGCTGAGTGAACTGGGTCTGTTCAGCCTTGAGAAAAGAAGACTGAGAGGGGACCTGATCCAGATTCATAAATATCTGAAGTGTAGGGGCCATAGTGGTGAGGCCTGTCTCTTTTCAGTGGTGAGTTGAGGCAGGACAAGGGGAAGCGGCTGGAAACTGCAGCATAGGAAGTTCCGCACAAATGTGTGCAAGAACTTCTTTACAGTGAGGTGACGGAGCACTGGAACAGGCTGCCCAGGGAGGTGGTGGAGTCTCCTTCTCTGGAGATGTTCGAGACCTGCCTGGATGCCGACCTGTGCGACCTGCTGTAGGGAACCTGCTTTGGCAGGGGGGTTGGACTCGATGATCTCTGGAGGTCCCTTCCAACCCCTACAATTCTGTGACTCTGTGATTTCCAGTATTTCACTGAGAGTATTTAAACTGGTGCCCACATATATTTGCAAACAGTGGCTGAGAGCAGTAAAAATTCATTTACATTTTTAATTCAGGGACCAACCAATTGCACAGTCACCATTTTCCACAATATGTCTACCAGACAAGATTATTATGGCAGTTACTCACCACACTGAAATTTGCTGCTTCTTAGCATCTTACTTGACATGAAATTATAAGTGATAGTACATTCTTACTTTTATGGTACATGGGACAGTGATTAGAAGGAGCCAGGGTACGGTTAGTGGAATAACCATTCAACCTCATTTCTAGCTTCCAGGCTGCAAATGGCATTCTGGAAGCTAGAAATGAGGTTGAATGGTTAGTCCACTTAGAACAACAGAGCAATAGGTTCTTGGAGAGCCACGATGATGCACCACTGATGATAACGACAACCTCCTTCTTTCCATTGTTATGAGGCCATTTTTAAAATCAAAAAAAATTTGAAAGATATTTGAATTTTTAGACTAAAGACCATGAGTAAGCCTAGGGACTGCTATGCTTGGTCACAGACATTTTTAATTTGCTCTGGTATTTTTATTCCAGAAAGTTAGACGATCCAAAAGGACACAGAAGAAATCCTGAAGCAGACAAATGCACGATAGCCTATATAAAGGAAACCCATTCACTACTTCTAGTAACTGGATGTGAACATCTACTTTTCGCACACTGCCCTTGTGAAGCAGCCTTGCCCTAAGGAACGTGACAACTGTCACTATTCAGTCATAATGCTCAAGCTATTGTAAATATGATATTCAGCTTATTCTTCTAAACATTTGCTTTTCATGTAATTCTATAGAGTATGTAATGAAGGTAAACAGATAACATGGAGCAAGAGAAGCATAATGGTTAACCTTGTTCACAGTGTACCAGTCAATGTTATATCAGAATTATAAATATCTACAGATTTCCCACAATTAATCTAGAACTTTAGCTTTATGGACTTCGAAATTATTAAACAGAAGAAAATATGCAAATAAATCTGATGTCAAAAAGCTTCTGGAAAAACTTACCACAACTTCAGCTTCATCACGAGATATTTCCAAAACATTTTCAACCTACTTAACACAGCCTTACTCTGGCAACATTCCTGTGTATCCCCAGCTCTTACCCCCAGCTCTTCCCTCACACCACTCCTCACAACCATTGAGCAAGCCTATAGAAGCCAAAGGCATCTGAACACCTTTAAAATGTATATATTGTATATATAAATGGCTTAGCCAAAATACTGATGATTTGATGCGAGTGTAAAGAAGGAAGATGCAGGCCAGGAAAGACCGAAAAGGTAGAACTGTAGGAACATTGACTTAAATGCAATAATAGTCGTGGAAAAGATTTACTGAAATGAACTACATATTGGTTAATTCAGCACATGTGCGTGTATGTGAACTAGTAGGTGTATACATGCCTTTTCAGTTGATAAAAAGAAGTTACAACTTTAATACACTCACGCCTAAGAAAACGTGGTTTGCTGTACAAAGTTTCTGCTTTGATTTTGCACCAGGCTTCCAGCTTTAGTAAACAGGCTCCATTAATGCAACCTTTGTTTCTCAATTGTACAAACTCTCAAAATGTGCTATTTATGAGAGCATATGCTGCAGTTGAGAAAATGGTATGTTCATTCTCATCCATCCAATCTATTACTAAAGGAAACTAACCTTAAAAGCCTGAAATATCCATGATTAATTTTTCTTAAGAGCATTACGATACAGTACCTACCTGGAGCACTCTTCCAAATCCTAATATGTACCAATTGCAACAGATCTGTAACTTCAGGACAATGATAACTCAGTGCAATATCATCATATTTAACAGAAGTTACCCATCTAATCTCTTTGGAACTGTAGCAATTTTACCCATCTGCATACTGTAGTCAATGTATCATTTATTAAATTACCTACTATTAAAATCCTATTTTGCTAAACTGTTTTAACACTTTCATCACAATTCCATTAAAACATTTAGAATAAGATTTAATTTCTATCCAAGCAAAACCTAATAAAAGCAATAGTAGTTATAACATTCTTCTTTCTACTCTTATTTATTGCTACATTACTGGAGAAAAGATAAAGAGATGTAAATAAAAGCAAGCTGGTATAGATAATTAACCAACATCTTAACATTAAATCAAATCAATAAGAACATTCTTAATAACTAATTATAAAAAAAATAAGGTTACAGTTAACAGGCAAAAAAAATCAAGTAATTCATCTTAAAAATAAAATTGCATTAAAATAATAGATTTAACCTGAGTTGTTAAAAAAACATGATTTTTGTTAAACTGGAATTACTAGACACTATGAAAGACTTGAACTTGGACCTTTTTGGAATGATGAGCAGTAACTAAAAACAAGGTGCTAATCAAATAAAGGTGTTATAATATATGGTTCCAAAAGAAGAACTGTAGTGAATGTAAGTCAAACTGGTGTAAGGCAACACAATACCATACTAAAGCAACACTGGAGTGATCTTAACCTCAAAAGGAAATGGCAAGCATACATGAGTCAAAAGGGATTATAAACCTTTTCCTGGATCTCACACCTCAGGCCAGAAGAAAGCCTCCTAAGGAGAACTCCAGAGACAATGAAGCCAGACATGGTATCCGAAGGGTAGGTCTAAGGGTGTTGTGGTCCAGGTCCTGACACCACACAGCCTGCATAAGAGTCAGGGAACAGATCCATTATGAAGAAAGATTGTGCTAGAGATGGTAATTGCATTCCAGAACCCATGGTTTTGTAATCAACTTGGACTCATATTGAAGAATAAAATAGTTCAAGATTCAATGCGAGCTTCTCTAAAAGAAGCACTATACATTCTTTAGATTGGAATGTGTGGTTCAGCCAACTGGAAACTTGTTGGACCTCAACAGTCTGAGAAGTTTTAGTTTTGAAGAAGGCAATTAAAAACCCAGAGAAAAGGAGAGGAGATAAATCACAGCACCAGAAATTTTACTCAAGTTTCTTCAAAAATTTTGAGACAAGGAATTGCACTGAGTTCAACCTGAACTTTGGTACACTTCACTGTGGTGCCAGTCAAGATAATTCCAATAAGAATCTAAGTTGCAAAAGAAATGGCTACAGAATGAACCACATCAGCATGAGAACCATATGACTGAAGTGAATTTTCTAGTAATGCTGCTGAAAGACTCTTTTGGGGAGTGACCTAACTTGACACCGCAGGTAAATGCTTATACACACTAAGTAGCGTACTAATGAATTTTGACAGGAAATGTGAAGGAGGCATTATAAGAATAGATTATTTTGAGGACAGAGATAACTGCACTATCAAAATATCAAGTACAAAACAGTTTCTCAAAGAATAGAAATTAACAGTGAAATGAATAATGAGAAGCAACCAATTGAAAGTAGAAGACTGGATGCATAGCTCAACTGTCAGACCACTATTATGACAATATGACAGATCTGCTCTCTCCACAGCTGCTAAGACATATGAGGTGAGAAACTCATCAGAACGTAGGAAGTAATTTATGAAATAATACTAATACTGGTGAGATCTCATTTGAAACTAGAACTGTAAGTCTGGTCAGGTAATTTCAATAAGAATAAATTCAAACTGGATCAAGGGCAAAGAAGGATTACAAGGATTACCGTGAGCGATTTTGTTAAGCAAAATGAATCTAAGGGAGAATACAATGGTTTTCTAGTAAATACTGGTGGGGTTCTGCAGGAAAAACTAAAGACAAAGTTGTTAAAATAACAGGTAATACCTGACCCGAGGAGAGTTAAGCGGGAATTCTAAATTCCCACTAATATCTCGCTATATTCCCATTAAGATGTAGGAACAGTTTTCCCCAACACTGACAATGCAGATAAAATGTCTGTTTTAAGAGAGAATCCTGATTGTTTTTTAAAAAAATAATTATCTATTACAATTGCACATGACAACAGAGGAATGATGATTTTCCAGACAAGGAATTGCTCAACATTTGACCTGAACTTCAATATATTTCAGTGT